TCAGTACTAAAACACAAGTACCTCTAAAAGTAACAAAGGTACTGGAAGAACTTCACCTAGACTAACTTCGAGGTGGTGTCACCTCAATAGAGAATTGGAGTTTCTCTCTTAAAAGTTTGTCGAATAGGATGAGCGCAAGGCCATAAAAGCGCTAAATGAGTTGAGGAACTTGAGAACACGTGATACTTATGTGTGTGTTCTTACCGGTATTGTCACAAGGAATAATTGGTTCAAAACTTCCATGCTATCTCTAATTCTGACTTTACTTTGTTTGAATTACACTATGGTTAGATTCAAATCAAAAGATATCTAATCCTTATGCATAAGTGTCGTCTTTTTGAATATGTGACCGTATTGATTTTGAACAGGTGGGGGATTGTTGAATATTTGTTCAAAATCAATGGAATGATAATGGACTAATTGTTGGGCTCAATTGTGGAATTGATAGAATAAAAAAAATTGAAAATGCAAAATTTGATTTTTTGCCTATGCGTACGCACATGCTTAATTTTGTACGTACGAGAAATGTGTTTTGGCAAAATCAGAATTAAATTTTGCTTCTATTACGCGTACGTACGGTTTATACTATGCGTACGCATAGTATTAAAAAATAGTTGTTGGCTGATTTTTCAATTTGAAACTTGGGAGCCATTTTAGATTAAAAGTTGCCACTTTTCATCTTGTTTTGACACCATTTCGTGATGTATTGATTGAGGCCTATAAATAGGTGATGAATGATGAATACAAACATGATTAGAATCACTGAAAATATCTTGAGATCCATAAATCGTTCCATATTGAATCAAACTATTGATTTACATTCATATTTAAGATATTCCTTTGTGTTCTTAAAGTTTTGGAGGATTATACTTGTGCTTTGGTGTTAAATCCTTTATAAGGTTTGATATAATCCTACAAATTGTTTGCCAAAACCCTTAAGCATCTCATTCAATCCCGAGAGGGGGCAAATATAGTTTGAGGACAACGATCCCGTGTTCAAGCCTCAAATTTTTTCTTGACGTATTTCGTGATTTCTATTCATTTTGTTTCTATAATTTTGTTGTTGTTTCTTCTCCAACCCCTTATTTTTCAATAGATTTTTCACTAGCACAGTTGATTCAGGTGATAATTCTCCTTAGCACAGGTGGAAAGATTGGAGGTGGATACGAAGCCTCGAAATATGTAGTTATTGCATTTCATGGTGGAATTCTGCTATTACATGCTCTCTTGAACAGTCTTCCTATCTCGCTGTTATCCTTCCTCGGATAGCTTGCTGCTGCTTGGAATGTTTTAGGAGTCTTTGTTCTTATGATCCTCATTCCCTCAGTTGCAACGGAAAGAGCCAGTGCCAAGTTTGTTTTTACTCACTTCAACACGGATAATGGTGTAGGAATTAACAGCAGAATTTACATATTTGTTATGGGACTTCTCTTGAGTCAGTATACCATAACAGGATATGATGCATCGGCCCATATGACAGAGGAAACCAAGAAAGCAGATGAGAATGAACCGAAAGGAATAATAAGTTCCATTGGCATATCTATAATTGTTGGATGGGGTTATGTACTTGGTATCACCTTTGCAGTAACTGACATCCCACATCTTTTGAACCCAGACAATGATTCTAGTGGTTATGCCATTGCTGAAATATTCTACCAAGCTTTTAAGAGTAGATATGACCATGGTGTTGCTGGAATTATTTGCTTGGGTATAGTAGCTGTCGCCATATTTTTCTGTGGCATGAGTTCAATTACCAGCAACTCCAGGATGGCTTATACATTCTCAAGAGATGGTGCCATGCCATTATCATCATTTTGTCTCAAAGTTAACAAGCAAGGGGTGCCCATAAATGCAGTCTAGTTATCAGCTTTTATGGCATTTTGAATGGCCTTGACGTCACTTGGAAGCATAGTAGCATTTGAAGCGATGGTATCAATAGCAACCATTGGACTTTACATAGCTTATGCACTGCCAATCTTTTTTAGAGTGACTGTGGCTCGAAAATCTTTCAATCCTGGGCCTTTCAAATTGGGGCGATTTGGAGTTCTTGTCGATTGGATTGCAATCCTCTGGGTGGTAACAATTTCAGTTCTCTTCTCCTTGCCAATTGCCTATCCCATTACTAAGGAAACTCTCAATTATATTCCTGTTGCTGTTGGTGGCCTACTAATTCTTACTGTTTCATCTTGGATCCTAATTGCTAGATATTGGTTTAAAGGTCCTATTGCAAACATATATAGCTAAAGTCAAGCATTAATTTTCAGGTTTATTGTATTTTATGGACAATTAAGGACATATTTTTGTGCTTTGATAACCATGAATAGTTTTTTACGATATTAAAAAAAAAAGGCCTCAGATGTTTCCACTGAAAAATACACCCAAGGCTTTTGGCTGGAAATCATCAATAAAAGTGATTATTTACCTTTTTTTTGATAGTTGAGATAGGTGTGATAGATCCATATATGTCTGCATGCATTAATTGAAGGATCTGAGAGGCTCTTCAGGTGCTCTTCTTTGGAAATGAATCTCTTTTCTGCTTCCCTGCTAAACAATCTTGGCATATCTTAGATGAGACTTTGAATTGGGGCAGCCAGTGTACTATCTTCTTATCCTAGAGAGTTTTTAGACCATTTAGACTTAAATACCCATATCTACAATGCCAAGATGGGAGAGATCTTCAATAGTTGAGTTGAAACGGATTGTTTCACCTGTCTGAAGGTGGGAAACCAAATGAACATTCTGTTTGATGTCATGGCAGTCACCATGATCAGGCCTCTCTCAAGGTGATAAATTTTGCATTTCCCAGATTGAATAAGAATTGAAAGCCCCTTCTCTTGTAACTAGCTTACACTTAAAATGTTGTTCGTCAATTTTGGTACATAGAAAACCCTAGTGATCACCTGCATGACTCCATTGACTTGCAATTGTACATTGCCCTTTCCCACTACTGCCATGCTTGAATTATTCCCTAGCTTCACAGATTCTCTGAAGTTTGCATCAAAATCAGAGAAGTACTCCTATTGACTGCTCATGTGATTGCTACACCCCAAGTCAAGAAACCACAATGCCTTTTGATTGGTTTCCTTAGTATTTAGGTAAGCCATTAGTAACATCTCTTCACTAGCCTTTTGCATGATTCTCCACCTTGCTTGGACATTCATATTGGAAATGACCAAGCTTATGACAGTTTAAACATTCAACTGTAGACTTGTCAAAGCTGGTCTACCTCTTCCTCTAAAGCTACCACGTCCTCGTCCTCGTCCTCCCGATTGGTAATCATATGTCTTTTGAGTGGTTGTTCTTCTACCACATGAACATTCATGCCTTGCTCGTGCACCAAAAGGATACTTCACAGTTCATCAATGGATAAAGTATCCACATCGTTGAACTCCTCGATAGAACACACCATATATTCAAATTCTGAGGTCATGGATCTCAAAATTTTTTCAATGACAACATCATCTTCCATTTTCCCTCATGAATCCTCATTTTGATGGCTATGGTGAGAGTTCGAGCAAAGTAGTCATTTTTGGATTCACCTGACTTTATTTGAAGCACCTTAAATTTCCTTCTAAGAGCTTGTAGTTGTGCACGCTCGACTCATGCAGTCCCTTGATATTTCTATCTCAAGGAGTCCCAAATATATTTGGCAGTTTCGTTGTTCAGGATGGTCTCCAGACTTGAACTATCAATGGCTTGAAAGAAGTAATTTTTTGCCTTCAGGTCCTTCAATTTAAGATCTTCATTCAACTTTTTTGTGCTTCAGTAATCACAACTCCTTCATCTACTGTAGGGATTCTATTCTCCACCAATCCCCAATATTCTTTTGAACGTAAAAAGTTTTCCATAAGCATGCTCCAGTGATCATAGTCCCCATCAAGCTTTTGAAGTGCAGGTTGCACAAAACTATTTTCTGCTGCTCCTTAAGTGACCTTGATCAGGTTCTTTTAACCTGGCTCTGATACAAGATGTTGAGAACCCTGATTTTATGTGTTATTGAATATTGGAGAAGAAAAAACATATTATTAATCCAGCAATATAGGGGCTTATATAGCCTTTACAAAGCAATAAGAGTGTGTTTGATTACATTTATTTTCCATGAAAAATATCATTTTTCCATCCAAATTCCTACTTGGGATGTTTGATTGCTATTTTTTCCATGGAAAACTTTTTCAACTTTTGAAAAAATGCCTAATTTTCTTTGTTTTTAAGGAAAATATTTTTCTTAGGTGGAGGTGATTTTTGTTTTTCTCAAAAGAAGGAAAAAATTTTCTTTTTTAAGTGATATTTTCCATGCCAATCAAACGCATTTAGAAATAAACAACCCACATCTCAACAACTCCGAGAATCATGGGAGAAGCCTAGAGAAGAGTTCAAAGTAAACGTGTCCTAACAATAGGAATTATTCAAAAATGAAGCAAACAATCTAATTAATCCTAGCTGACTAATTCAAAATCATTAAAATATTTCAACATGGACAAACCTAAATTGTTAGGTTTACTTGCCAGGAAATGGAATATCAGCCTCTGAAAACTGTTAATGACAGGTCATTTTGATTTTTGGGTTTAGGGTAGGTTTCTTAGTAAATAGGTTAGAAGATCGAGAAGTTGAATATAACTAAAAAATCGCTTGATGGGGTTACTAAGGATGATCCAAAAGATATAGCAAACTAAGTGCGACAAAGGATTTATATAGGCTGTCCAAAGTTTATTTGCAATAAAGCTTATTTTGTTGTTCTATCCCTGTTCATCTAGAAAACCAATTTTATAATTGAATTTTGATGACTAAATCTTGCCTAACAGAAATGAGTTGAATTTTGGATACGATTGGTACACCATATTGGATTAAGAGAGTAAGGATATTTGTGAGTTGCCCCGACCAATTACAATTATTAGTACAGAATGTAGATCCTGTCATTCATCGCATCTTTATTCTCAAGTCTTTGCGTCCAAGATAAAGATGTTATTCAAACTTTGAATGTTCATTGAAATGGACATGGTTAACTTACAATTGTAAAAATGAACAGTTCAAACATTTTATTCGTGTCTATCTTGATTCCCCCTTTAGCCCTGTGCTGGAGGAAGCTTTCCCTCAATGAAGGATGAGAAGAAGATGAGCGCGCGCTCAGGCTGGTAACTCGGAACAAAATGTCCCGATCCTCTTATAGTCACAAATGTCACATTTTGATAGTCAACTACGTAACCTCCAACCTTGAAAAAGTGATTCAGAATGGCGTTACGATGCTAAAATTAGTAAAGGTGGACAAGATTTAAAAAACAAAAAAAAAAAATTGTTTCTTTATTACCTCGCCTTGAGAGTCCCAGGGATACCATGGAGTCTTTATAGGTGACCCGAGTTTGGGCATTGAATACCTAGTTGCTGTAACTGGTATTATCCGATCTGTATCTCCACTGCAGGTGCATTGAAAATTTAAGCTCAAGTGTGTCAAGACAACAACAATTATATTTTCATTCTCAAATAAAATTCTTTCACTCAGTTCTCTCTCGTGCAAAAGTCGAGGCTTACAAATCAATGACTGTAATCAAGACATGTTCCCAATGTGACATAATGTTAAATAACTAACAGAACTTTTCGGCAAGTATTTGCAGTGATAAATACAAAATAAACTGTAATTCAGTTTCAGTATTTTCTTTTTCGGGTTCTTATTGTAAAAAGAATTTGCCAAGTGCAATCTGCAGTCGAACGGTGAAGTATTACCACTCACAGTCATAACTTACCTGTAGATCCAAACTCTGATGCCGCTTTCCATTAGCTTCTTTATGGTAGGCAATAATGTATATGGTGAGTCCTGCCAGCCAGTACTGATGATGTCGCTGTATATCAATGAAGTGTTTTTAGTTGAAGTCTTTCGAAAATTGAAATGAAATAATATGGAATAAGAAAGAGTTGGAAAAAAATATATATCAGATGGAGAAGTGCAGTACTTGCAATCTTCCCACGGTCCAGGAACTCCAGTTATGTTAGCATGAAGTGCCTTTTGCACTTCAGGATTGTTTAAATAATCAAAGACATAATCGCTTGAGCATGGATCGAAATTTGATACCTGCTTCCAGAAGAACGAAATGGATTTTTATTCTGGGGAAACGAGAATATTATATACTGAAGAACAAGTTGATATGATATACCCCGGGAGCACTTGAAGAGGAAGAGCACAAGGGGGCATATATGTCATAAGTGTAGATGTTGCCTATGGTTTCATAGGCTTGTTCTCTGTAATCGTAACAGACTTCTGAATTATTGGCAGATGAAAAATTGCAATTTGATTTTATTCCTTCATGAACTTCATCAGAAATGAGAGCACTTGTCCAGAAATGGTCAAAAGTGCCTGCTTCTGTATCCGTATCGTCAATTAATGCATTCCCAATCTGAAAATCACGTCCATAAGGATCTTATAATTCTTGATAAAGAAAAAAACAGAACATATTGAATAAACAGGCAGCATATCGTATCAGGAAGCTTACAGCAATTCCTTTGAGGTTAATGACAGTTTGATTTGTGATTTTGTTGTTTTCAAGTATCAAATCAGCAAGCTGGGGCACATAATGACCAGCATAACTCTCTCCCGTTATGTAAAAACCACGTGTTTTGTACTCTGGATATCTTTCTAGCCAGTTAACTAAAAAGTTATACGAATCTGCTGCAGTTTTTTTGTCCCCAGTAACATAATCTGATGATGTATTGGAATAAGAAAATCCAACACCAGCTGGGGACTCCAAGAAGAGGACATTTGCCACTGCATTTCAAGCAGCAGAATTTCTTTAACAGGCCGTTCTTTCAAAATAAAAATAAAAACACACTTTTTGATAACTTGTTTTATGGATGCAAGTACGAACCATTGTTCCATGCATATCGGTTATACCATAGAGTTTTGCCATCCGGATTGACCCGAAACGGTCCAAGTTCTGTCATTGCACCAGCTCCTATGGAAGAGCAGCCCGGTCCTGCAGTTTCAAGAATTATTAAAATTGCTAAAAGAAGGTGAATGCTAGTTCATAGAAGAAATGACAATCTAAATTGCCTTTTATTTCTCGACTATAATGATCTTGCAAAGATTTGACTCAGGTTCCTGTAAGTATTATGCCCTAGGTCCAATCGACTTTGGACATAAATACTTTTATATATAATTAATGCAATTAAATGGCAGATCTATTATTTAATTAATAGACAATTAAATAAATAATAGAGTCCGTAGATTCAAATATTTGTAATTTATTAATCACAAGGAGTTGTGATTGTGAGATACAAATTACATCTGATTGAATCTTAAATCATCCGTGGTCGTAAGTAATAACGAGATACG